TGGATTCCAGTCCAGTAAGGCCTCCTCAAAGAAAATCTCTATGTGCCCAGACTGCTTGATGCCCCTCTTGATGACCACCTGAAATTCATCATCTTAATGATCCATATGGCTGAACTCATCATAATGAACTAATCAAATAGCTAAGACTGCAGGGCTCCTTTCTCTCTTGTGCTACAGTTACGTTATAAAAATGAATACTTTTTCTTTCTTCTGTGGAACACTTCTGGGTTTCCTCTAGCTGTGTTTACAGTTTGCAAACTCTAAGACGCATGAATAAATCTTTGTCATTTATTTGTAGCCAAAGCCTCCAGATTCTTTTTTATTATGTTCGACAGGAGGCACCCCTTTACCTCCCTCCACGGGGAAAGAGGCAGAGTGACTTAATGCTTTGCTATCTGTGCCACAGACTGGGCTTGTGAACTGTGGATAAGACCTGACTCGACACTGGGCCTCAATCTACACCTGCTGGCAAGTGATTAGGTCAGGAGGGCAGAGCTCTTATAAATGTGATTAGTGCCCTTACAAAAGAGACAGCCATCTATGAACCAGGAAGTGCATCCTCACCATCATGCTGGCACTTTGATCTTGGACTTCCCAGCCTCCAGAACTGTGACAAATAAAATTCTGTTGCATATATGATGCCCAGTCTATGGTATTCTGTTATAGACTAAAACAGTCCCGAAGGATCCCACCTCCTGTTATTCGCAGCTTTGTAGTCCCCTTCCACACTGTATCAAGGTCGGTCTGTGTGATCAACAGTATATGGCAGAAGCGATGGGTATGTCACTTCCACACTCGGGTTATAAAAGACACTGTGACTTCTATCTTGGTCACTCTCTTTAATTCTTATATTACTTGCTCTGGCTGTGAGTTGCCACATCATGAGCAACCCTATGGGAAGGCCTGTGTGATGAGGGATTGAAACCTCCTGCCATTAGCCACGTGAGTGAGTTTTACAAGGTTTCTATCCAGCCCAGCTTTCAGATGACCTTATAGCTCCAGGTGGCATCTTGACTGCAATCTCAGAAAAGATCCCAAGCTAAAGATCCCACTGCCTAGATTCCAGTCCCTCAGAAACGGTAAGAAAATATGTATCTGTTGTTTTAAACCAAGAACTTTTGGAATAATTTGTTACAAGCAATAGGTAACTAATTCTGTAATTTACTCAAATTTCTACACACTTAATTTTAAAAAATTGATTTTTAGATAGAGAGGAAGGGAAAGAGAGAGAAACATCTTTTGGTTGCCTCCTGTAGGTGCCCCAACTGGGGACCAAACCCACAACCTGGGTATGTGCCCTGACCAGGATTCAAACCCACAACCTTTTGGTGTAGAGGGATGCGCCAACCAACTGAGCCACCGGGCCAGGGCTCTGCACACTTGATTTTAAAGGCTGTCTAGCCTAATGCAATTCCTATAAATATTTTATCACAGAATAGCAATAGAGGATTAGGGTGGCTTCATTGGAAAGTGAGGACTATTATCAACTCCACTTTGATATTGAAAGTCTATAATAAACATAATGGCTCAGGATGAAGTAATTCACACACTGCCATCTCAAGTTTCCTTATCATTTGACAGAGCCATAGGACTATAACATGCATTCCTTTTATCCTGGACTTTCCCCTAGTACAGTGGTCGGCAAACTGCGGCTCTTTGGCCCCTTGAGTGTGGCTCTTCGACAAAATACCGACTTCTGCTCACGGGCCACGAAGTTTCAATTACACTGTACATGCGCGCCCACATGTGGTATTTTGTGGAAGAGCCACATTCAAGGGGCCAAAGAGCCGCATGTGGCTCGCGAGCAGCAGTTTGCCTACCACTGCCCTACTAGATATGGAGGTGCTAAGACCTATTGACCAAGTACCAAGATATCCAGTAAAACACAGATCTTTCATAGTTGCTGCCATCACCACCATCTATCCCCAGAACTCTTTCCATTTTGTAAAACTGAAACTTTATACCCATTAAAGAATTCTCCATTTTTCTCTTCCCCCCAACCCCTGGCAACCACCAATCTGATTTCTGTCCCTATGATTTTGACAACTCTAAGTACTTCCTGTGAATGGAATCATGCAATAAATAGAGTTCCTGGACCCAATTCCAAAGCATCAGATTCCACAGGTTAAGGGGTCAATCCTATAAGACTGCCATTCCCCGACACACACACTTCAGACGGCGGACACAAGCCCAGGTTACCTGTGCTTCTGACTGACTGGCTACAGATTGGAGGTTCCAAAGACCCCTCCTTGGGTTCAATTAATCTGTTTACTCACTAGATTACTGATTTATTACAAAGGATATTAAAGGATATGAATCAGCAGCCAGATGAAGATATACATAGGGCAAGGTCCCAAACAAATGAGCTTCTGTCCTCATGGAACTTGGAGCCCGCACCCGGGCACATAGAAACCTTCTGGCTCCCCAACTTGGAAGCTCTCCCAACACCCTCTTTAGGTTTTTATAAAGGCTTCATTACATAAGCACAATTGATTAAATCATTGGCAGTTGGTGGCTGAATTCAATCTCCAGCCCCTTTCCCCAGCCCAGGAAGTCTGGAGTGGGACTGAATGCTCCCAACCTGTAATCACTTGGTTGGCTCCCCTGGCAACCAGTCCCCACCTGTAGGTGCTTTCCAAAACCACCTCATGAACAAAGCAAAAGACACCTTTATCCCTCTCAACGCTTGGGAAATACCCAAAGTTTCTGGAGCTGTGAGCCAAGAATTGTGGCGAAGACCAATATATATGAGAAATATATATTTCTTATAAATCACAATATCACACTCAGTATTTGTCTTTTTGTGACTAGCTTATGTCACTTAGCATAATGTCCTCAAGGTTCATGTGTGCTATAACATATCAGAATGTCCTTTTTTAAGGCTGAATAATATTTTATTATATATATATATGTATGTGTGTGTGTGTATATATATATATATATATATGCCGCATTTTGTTTATCCATTCACCTGTCAATGAACACTTGGGTTGCTTCCACCTCTTGGGTGTTAAGAATGGTGCTGCTATGAATATGGGTGTGCTACTAACTCTTCAAGGCCCTGCTTTCAATTCTTTTGGGTATATTCCCAGAAATGGAATTGCTGGGTCATATGGCAATTCTATTTTTAATTTTTGGAGTAACCGCCATACTGTTCCACAACAGCTGTACCATTCCCACCAACAGTGCACAAGGGTTTCATTTTCTCCACATCCTCACCAACACTTGTTATTTGTGTGTGTGTGTGTGTTGTTTTTTTTTAATAGCCATCTAATGGATGTGAACTGGTCCCTCATATATTTTTATTTCCCTTTTACAGATGACAGAACTGAAGCACCAAAAAGTTCAACAAGGGCTCAACTTTTAAAAAAAATAATTTTATTGATTTTTTACAGAGAGGAAGGGAGAGGGATAGAGAGTTAGAAACATCGATCAGCTGCCTCCTGCACACCCCCTACTGGGGATGTGCCTGCAACCAAGGTACATGCCCTTGACCGGCATCGAACCTGGGACCCTTCAGTCCCCAGGCCGACGCTCTATCCAGTGAGCCAAACCAGCTAGGGCAAGGGCTCAACTTTTAAATGTCAGAGCTGGAATTTGAACTCAAGTAAACTGACCTACTATTAACCAATATGTTAAAATTCTTGTGAGGCAGAAATTACAAAAATCTCTCAAGAAGAAGATAGAGGGGTTCAAGGGCTAACACCCACCAGTAAAGGGCAAAATGATTAGCAGCAAGTTCATTGATCTTTCTCCTCCTAATATTCTCCCAACCCTGGGAGGTTGAACTTGCCAGGAAGTTGCAAAATGTTGTTCTGGGGGTAGAAACCCGCCCCCTCTCTCCCTTTTCTCCTTAAATAAGCTTTGTTCAGAATGTCCATTTGGAACTTTTATTTTTGGAGGTTTCTTATGCCCTGGTTTCTGTATTGTCTAGTCAGGCAACCTAAAACCAAAAGGTTCTCCTAAGGTTCTATCGGCATCTACATCTTGATCATCTTTTTCAGTCACGCTAGGAATAAAAAACGCCTCCCACTGAAAAGGGATCCTGGCCAACCACCAAGTCGCTATGTTCCACTCTATCTAGATGAGTCAGCAAGAGCTGGTCTCAGAGGAATTCCTTCCTCCAGAGGGGAAGTCAGGGGTTAGATTTTAGAACCTGGGCCTTAGCATCTGGCAGACCGATAGTCTCTTGAAACTGCTGGCTGCTTAACATAGAATAAGTCACTCAACATTTCTTAGTCTCCTGCCGACCAGAGATGACAGGCCTGGAGCTGACGCACAGGGAGCACCTCGCGCGCCCCAGGCACTCAATCAATGCTTGGAAGTCTTACTGCTTTAGTCCCGGGTCCACGCACAACCAAACAGCACATCATAAATATTTGCTGTCGAGAAAACACCCATTATTAAGAACATATGTTCACATTCTAGAAAAGATGCATCCTGGGTTAACGACCGCAGCCCAGGCGGCTCCCGTCAATAGAAGGTTAGCTTTGAACGTAAACGTGGAAATCCCACTAGGAGCTCTGAGAAGTGGCCCAGCCATTTCTTCAACACAGATGACTAAACAACACTGAAAACTTCCCCATGGTGAGTTCTTTTCTTATGTGTATAATTATACAAACTATACAAAAGGGAAATATTCCCGGGATTTGGGAATCCGGTGCGTGTGGACCTGCAGCCGAGATGGGTGATACAGTTTGAAAGCGAACCCAGCCTAGGAAGACTCGCCCTCCGAGTCCCAGCAACAGCGGGGACTCGGCCCCAATCTCAGAGGGTTCCCGCCGTCGCAAGACTGGCGTGGGGGTGGCTTTTCTCCGGCCGGCGACCTCGACAATGAAAGGGGCCGCTGGAAGGCACTAGGGACCCAGTCGGCCTCCGCCCCGCCCCTACCTCGCTGAGCCGGCAGGCTGTGTCCCAGCGTTCCGCCCCACTCGGCCGGGTCCGCCGAAGCGCAGCCTGCATCTCCCAGGAGCCTCTTCGGCTGTCAGTTTTCGGCAGAGAAGTGACACCTGCGCTGAGGCGGCAGTTAAAGCACGAATCGGCGTGGCCAGCGGCTGTGGGGCCCGGGCGGGAGGCGGGACTTCCGCTCCCTCGGGTTACGTCATCAGGAGGCGGAAGTGCAGCGGGGGCGGGAAGGTTGTAGAGCTGCACGTTGCGCTAGGTTTGCCTGTCTGGAAGTGGTCGCGCCCCCTTGGAGAGCGCGATCCCACGGTGAGGCCGTCCCTGGCGCACTCGCGTCCCCGGTAAGTAGGGCCGCCCGGCGGCTCCGGGGGATGGAGGTGTGTGGCTCCGGTGCTGACTGGCTGCCGTTGTCTCTGTTGCCACTGGGCAGTGGCCTCTCCGCTTTCCTCGCCTCCCAAAGTTTCCCACTGCTCCCCTCCTTCGTGTCCGCCGCTGCCCCCGCCCAGCCTGCCCTCCACGACAAAAAGGGGCGGGTCCAGCCCCGTCGCGCCCCTGATGGGCGTTTCCCTTCCGCAGATGAGCCTTCCTAACGGGACCGCGCTAGCTCTGCGCTTCTGCCCCAGGAGACGCCTGACCGTGTTCTGTTCAAAACCGACATCCGTTTGCTCGCGCTTGTACTTTCCCGGGCTCCTGAAGGCACTCTCAGCGCGCTGACAGCGCCCGTCGCTCTCTGCTTCCTGAGTAGTGTTCACGCCCTTTAAAGAGCGCGTTTGTTAACCTTTTGTTTTTGTGTGTGTGTGTGTGTGTGTGTGTGTGTGTGTGTGTGTGTGTGTGTGTTTAGCATGGTTGCTTGAATGAGACTATTATTTTCCCACCGAGTATGTGTTCCTAGAGGGCAGGAGTCCGATGTTGCCTATTTGGGATCTCCCTTCTTTTTCCATTTTAGCTCCCAGTGTACACAGTTGTTGCTGGCTGCATTTTGTAAGTGAAACGAGAGGCACCGTAGATGAGTGATTTTTTTTTTCTTCCTTCTACTGTGACCATATCGATGTTATCAATTGATTGATAACGTTTGGTGCTATTTGGCAGACAACCTAATGACATATTAAAGACAGCAGTGCTCAATGTTGATAACAACGTCTGCAAGAATATTTAACCTTCACGCTGTAATTAAAAACTCGAGCTTGCAGAGTTTGTGCTTTCAGTCTGTGTGCTTTTCAGGTTTATGTTTCTGAAGAGATGAAGATGTGGCAAACGTTTCACTGTAGTAAGGCTAGCTGTTCCCCACCACTTTTCATGTGTTATTAAAGTATGGTGCATTTTGTGTGCATGTACACGTGTTTTACAGGTGATTGTAAAGTGCTGACCACTTGCCACTGAACATAGTTGAAACAGAAAATAGGAAGATGGCAGCAAACCCTTCAGGACAAGGTAATGCATGCTGGAACGTATTTTGTTACTAGGAACTTTCCCCCTACATAGTAAACATATTTTAATAGAAAATTTGGCATAGGGCAGTTACTTTAGCCAGAATAAAAAATAAATAGCAAAGTAACACCCCATTATTTAAAGCAAATCCAACATTGTATCAGATATATAAGATCCTTAATAGCTATTAATCCTATCTTTTAATCTGTGTTAAGATTATTCACATTGTAAACCTTAGGTCCTCTAACATCTGTTTTCTTGCTCTTTACTGGAAATCAGAACCACTTTTAAAGAAGTTATATTGTCACCAAGCTATATCCATACCTTTATCTTCATTTGCTCTAAAAATTTTATTATACATTTCACCTGTATTAAGCTAGCTCTCTAAGGCAAATCAAGTTAGACACATCCTAAAGAAGTTTTTATTTAAAAGATAAGATTTAATCTCTACAAAGTATTAAATCCTACTTTGTAAGTAGTTTCCTGTTTCAAAAACTTAAAGCAAACTTCTATTTCTTTTCCATATCAAGTTTAAATTCCTATTTGACCCACCATACTTTTTTGTTACTCATCTTTGGTATGACCTGTTCTGATTTTTAAAAATCTTAGTTTTGTCTTTTTTTTTTTTAAACTGATTTCAGAGAGGGAGAGAAACATAAATGATGAGAGAGAATCACTGACCAGCTGCCTCCTGCACGCCCCCCACTGGGTATTTAGCTTGCAACCCCGGGCATGTGGCCTTGACTGGAATCGAACCTGGGACCCTTCAGTCCGCAGGCCCACGCTCTGTCCACTGAGCAAACCAGCCAGGGCAGTTTGTTGTTATCTTAGTCTTCATATAAATGGAATCATAAAGTGTGCACTTGTTTGTATCCAGTTTCTTTCACGCCCTCTGTGAGACGTATCCATGTTGTGCCATCTACTAGTAGTTCATCCCTTTTTATTTCGGAGTTCCATGGTATTAATTTACCACAATTCATTGAATCATTCTTCTGTTTGGAGGCTTTGGGTTTTTCTCAGTTTTGGCAATTGTGAATAAACCGCTTTGAATATTTGCTGCAAGCCTTTTTGTAGATATTTGGATGAATATCTAGGAATGGAGCAGCTCCGTGTATAGTTAACGATAAAAAAACGGGCAAACATTTTCCCAAAGTGCTTGTACCATTTGCATTCACTCCAGCAAAGTGTGAGAATTCTGGCTGCCCCACGTGTAGCCTTGGCTGTTGGTCTTTTTGGGGGGAGCCACTTTGGGGGTGTGAAGTGTCCTGTCATTGTAGTAGTAACTTGGATTTCCCCGATGACAAATGTTGAGCACTTTTTCACATACTTATTGGCCATTGTAAATCTTCTGTTGTGAAGTGTTTGTTCATGTCTTCTGCTTCTTTTTAAAAACTGGGTTATGTCTTTTTATTTTGAAGTTTTTTTAGAGTCTGGATACTGGTCCTTTGTCACTGCTAATTGCATTATCTGGATCATCTTGGAGTTGGTCTCTGTTGACTGCACTTTTTTTTAGTATAGGTCACACTTTACTTTTTCTTACTATACTTAGTGATTTGTTATTGGATACTGGATATTCTAGTACGTTGTAGAGATCCTGGATTCTGTTGTATTCCCCTGTAATGTGATTTTTGTTCTAGCAGACGGCTTGGCTCAACTCTTACTCCAGATTGTCTCCCTTGTGTTGGGCAGCAACTGAAATCTCTGCTCATTCTTTTAGCTTCCAGCTGCTGCTTATTGCTGGGCTCCCTGGGCTCTCCCCATATATGTGCGGTTTACAGAAAGCAAAAACTGTGGGTGGGTTGCATAGGCATGTTTTAGGCTTTACTCCTTCCTGCCTTTCCCTCTTAAGTCCCTCCCCTAATATTTGGCTACTCTGCCAGCCCTGAACTCTGTCCTCTGATACCTCAAATCAGTACGGTGAGGCCGTCCAAGCTGTTTGTGGATTGAGGAGTGCTTCAGGCAAAAGGCCACAGATTCCCAAATCTCACCAGTTGCAGTTTCTGCCCAATTTTGGTCAGTCTCTCATGCCTTCAAATAATAGGGTTACTGTAACCAAACTACTCTGCCATTCCTGGAAGTTGGAAGCCCGCTGAATCTACTTTAGTGTATTAGTTGGATTTAGGGTAAACTAAGGGTTACATGAGTTTTATAGAAGTGTAGTAAAAAGCTAGTTGCAGTCATAGCTTTACCAGCTGTAACCAGCTAATACTGTTCTATTCTCTCAAATCACAGGTCAGTATTCCCCTATGGTCTTTGACCTCTTTTCCAAGTTATAAGGACTCATATTGAAAATAATTGAAATTAAACAAAAATGAAAACTAAGTGAAGTCTAATTTGAAAAGAAAATATGCTAACAATCACACAATGCAGTCCTAATGAAATGAAATTTTAAATTATCTCTTTGTTCTTTGTAAATACACGAGATTTACAATTTGCTGGTTACTCATTTTTTAGCAGTTGCAATAATACACAATCATTTTTAGTGCGGCCTTTGATTGATCCACAGTCAAATTCACCATGAAGCACAGTCAAAACCACTTTGGCTTTTGTTACTGTTTTGTCAAAGATTTTGTTGGTGTCATGGAGCTGCTGCTGTTAGCCACCAGCAGAGGGAGTCCACGTCATGTTCTATAGACTCCCAGACTCTCGATGAAAATGTTAAATTCTTACTTATTTGGATCTATTGCATTTTACTTTCTCTATTAAATATTTCTGCACTGCTTATGAGTATAGGGACTACTTATTATGGGGATTGAATGTCAAGTGCCATAATTATCTTATAGTGATAACTGAAAGAACAATGACTAAACAATTCTTGACCCATACATTATAGTATATTAATGTCTCTGGTGTAGGCGATAGAATCCTATTGTGCCCACTAACCCCTCTTTCATATCTAGCCTTCTATCATATTGTAATATGCTGAATTTCATAAGCTCTTGGCAGACAGTTATTGATGTCTCATTCTTTTTAGCATCCATAGTAGTGTGGATTTAACAGTGGTCGCCAACTGGTAGTCCGCGGACTACTGGTGGTCCGTGAGGTCCAAAAGGTTGGCGACTGCTGGTGTGGAACATTATTCTTGGATTGAAGTAACATTTTGAGAAGTTTAATATATAAAGGCAGATCTTCAAACTGGAATTTGTCCAAGGTACCTTTCTTGTGTAAGGAGTCTTTCATTATTGGTAATACTGTATCAAGGTCCTGTGATCATGTGGTGGTAGTTGGATTGGTCTAATCTGAGAATCCTGGTAAAATACTGAGTAAAGAATGTGAGTTCTTCTCTTTGATTATTTTATAATTATCTCAAAATGCTTGTAGAAATATCTATAAACCCTGCAGATCAAGTGGTGGGAACTGTTGACTGGGGGCCACTCTTGATGCTCTTAGCTGTGATTTAGGGTTCTGTGTAGGAAGTGGGTGGCTTAACTCCTGGGAGGTTGTCTTGGTTGACCACAGACCCAAGTAGAAGTCTTACCTAAACCATCTGTGGTCCAGAAGAAAGCAGATTTACCCTTCTGGCTTGTACTAAGGTATGCTACTTTTGAATTTAGAGTTTGTTCCAGTGCATAATTTGCTTTTCTGGAACTTTTTAGCTTAGCTACAGTTCCCTGTATCTACCCCTTCCTCCTGTACTTAAACAAAAAAGTACACAGCTACACTTTACAGACATATACTTGTAGAAACAAAACACCTAAATGTTAACACTAACTTAATTATTAACATAGTAACAATTATTTCCACCCTTTCTTTACAACTGTCTTTTTATGTACTTTAACTTTCCTTTTTGCATCTTCTTGTGAATTCATGGCTTTTAGATTTGATTTGTTCCATCTAGCTATACTTATTATTCTCTCTAATGTCCCATTGTGTCAGCCTGGCTAATCTCAAACTGGCTTCTCTGTTCTTTGAGCATATCCTGAGCCTTTAAAAAAAACCCAAAACTCTTCTTGCTTTCTGACAAGATATTCCAGGTCCATCTTGATTATTTTCCTTCCCTATGACATGGAACTAGTACTCCCCGAGAACCCTGGTTCCTTTTCACGGAGGATAGTATAAAATATTTTCTTTTGAACAAATTAATTTTTAGGGAATTTATATTTCTCTAAACAGCACTTCAGTTCTTTCCAATGTGGTAACTTATTTTGCTCATCATATAACTTAAACACTACTGGATTTTTTACTTTTCTTTTCAAAAAATTTCTATTTTATATTTATAGTACCTCTAAATCTCTAAAAAGATGTAACTATATAATTCACTTCTAAAAATACAATAGGCTCTTGTGAAAAAAAGGAAAAAAAAAATCTTGTCCTATAGTTGAAAATATAGCTGGCGGTGTAACTTGCTTTAAATATATGCAACTTCATATATACACATGGGAGAGTACCAGTTTTTCCCTTTAAAAAAATGTTTTTGTTGATTTGAGAGAAAGGGCAGGAGAGGGAGAGAGAAACATTGATCAGCTGCCTCCTGCATGGTCCCCATCAGGGATTAAGCCTGAAACCGGGGCATGTGCCCTGAACTGGCAGCCTCTTGGTGCATGGGACGATGCTCAACCAACTGCGCCACACCGGCTAGGCCCAATTTTCTTTCCCATTGAAAGCATTCTTCACTTTACAAAGAACTCACTTTTGGATTCCTTTAAATAACACATTCCAGTATATACCTATCCGTCCATAAATATCTTACTTTAATTTATATTACATGACTTTTAGGGAAGTTTCTAGTGTATGAAATCAATAATACTCATTTTCTGAATTTCCCATCAAATATATTATCAGATCATTTATACACATTTGTTTATTTGGATAACAGGCCAACCATGAGGTAGTAAATAGATTGACAATAACATAGCCTTCCTTAGTGGACTAAGAACACTGACAATCAAAGAAACTATATTAATTTAGAAATTATATATTAATTTTGAGCCTATAGTTACTGATTTTCACACCTGATTTCCATAGTAAGGAGTTAACTCTAGCATCCTGTGCTCTGATTGTCAAACATGTATGAATTTTTTTAAGGAGGCTATTCCTTCTTAACCAAGCCAAGAAAGACATGTGGTTTTTATGAGAAGTTGGTGAATTATATACAGTTGTTGTTTTTGTAAGTAAAAAATGGTCAGATATAGGCAATTTAATAAATTTAACTTAATACATAAATTAAAAGTTTTCTTATTATATTTATGTAATAATCCCAGTTGTATAAAGATGAGTTGCTATTTATGGTTTGTGATGGCCAGTCTTATTAGAGGTCTAAATTTGAAAGAAGTTATTTAACCGTTAAAAATACTTTTTTGTGGCCTTTATTTGTATAGCACCTTCTTTTTAAACCCCTTTGGCAGATTGCCTTGGCAATCAGTTGCTTTGGTATTAGTTGAAGTAAAGGTCTAAAGCTGTGTTTGTAAACTACAGTAGTTCCCCCTTATTCATGAGGGGAATGTTCCCAGACCCCCTGGATACCAGAAACCTCAGATAGTACAGCGCCCTATGTATAGTATGTTTTTCCTATACATAATACCTATGAGAAAGTTTATTTTAAAAATTAGGCCTAGTAACAAATTAACAACCATAATAAAATAGGATAGTTATAACAATACACTGTAATAAAAGTTATGTGAATGTGATCTCTCTCAAAATATCTTACTGTACTGTACGTGCAGCACGGATACACTGGACAAAGGGATGATTCACATCCCAGGCGGGATGGAGTGGGATGGCACGAGATTTAGCTGAAAATGCTGCAAACTCAGTGTATATATTTTGTATGTACATGTTGGAATTGAATTCAGATTTTTAAAACATAGTTTGTTACTGCTTCTGGGCCAAGATCTTCTGGAAGATCAAGCCCATCGTTAAGTATCGATAAAGAACATACTCTCTTGTACCCTGTCAGTTATGCTCCATTTCTTTCTCAGAATTGCTTTCTAATCAGCTGCAATTCTTTTACTTATTCCTTGAAAGATTGTGTGTCATTTCTGAATGAAAGCAGTTGAGAAAAAGAAACATTGTTTTGATCTAAGTATGTCTAATGCTTTATTCTTCCATGAAAGAGACTTTCATAAAGAGGCCTAAAAGTGAGAACTAAGAAAATCTCCACTCCCAGAGATTGACTGCGCAGGATAGAGGTTAGTCCTTGCAGTATTGGGGCCTCAGAGATTTTGTTAAAAAACAAATGTTGTTATCCATACCTTGGTGATTAAAATTCCTTAGAATTGAGTCTTAAAAGTCCTTGGTCAGCATTATGCTTTGCATATATCCGTGTATTAAGCTGTTACAGTGGCTGGGAAATAGCAGTCGGGAAATGGTAACCATCTAAAGAGACTACTTATTAGTGAGTTCATTATCATGTTAGAGAATTTTGCTGCCTGGGTTTCAGGATGGCCTAAAATAGCTCTAAAATGTTTTTTATTTCTCTTTTTCTTCTCCCAACCTTCTTATTTTTTTTAGGTTTTCAAAACAAAAATAGAGTTGCAATCTTGGCAGAATTGGACAAAGAGAAAAGAAAATTACTAATGCAGAACCAATCTTCAACAAATCATCCTGGAGCTAGGTACCAAAGAATAATGTGGTTTTTAAGTTCAGTGATATAAAAAATATCTTGGACAAAATAATTCAAGTGGGTTGGCAATGGTTTGTTTCTTTAATTTTGGAATTTACGTTATATTTTGTTCCCTAGCTAGATTTGAAAAAATTAGACTATTTAATTGATTCCATTTTAAATATTTTAATTCAAATTAGAATATTTAATTTTCCCTACAGCCTACTTTTATGAAAAGGGTTTTGTATGAGTTTTGTTTGTAACTTAAATTATTCCAGTGTCCCACTTTTTAAAAAATATATTTTTATTGATTTTAGAGAGGGAGGGAGAGGGAGAGAGAGATAGAAACATCAGTGATGACAGAGAACCATTGATCAGCTGCCCCCTGCACGCCCCACACTGGGGATCAAGCCTGCAACCCAGGCATGTGCCCCAACCTGGAATTGAACTGTGACCTCCTGGCTCATGGGTAGACGTTCAACCACTGAGCTATGCTGGTTGGGCTCCAGTGTCCCACTTTTTTAAGCATTCTGCAAAGTAGGTAAATTTAGATAGCTTAATGCCCTTTATTCAGTTTGTGCCATCTTAAATCTCTTCCCTCGGATCTATTACCCATCCAGCCACTACCCTAACTGTCTCATCTTTTCCAGCCAGACCTCTTATAGAGTTGTTTATACTCACCTCTACTTTCTTACTTATTTACACCTCAACCCACTCTCAGGTGTCTCCTTCCCACTCCCTAGAATAGGTTTGAGCCTAATTCACTTGCAACCACCACCTTGTGGCTAAAGCTGCGAGCTAGACCATCCTTTTCTAGTTAGAGACCTTACATTATTTGACACCACTGATCACTCTCTCCTTCTTAAAAATACTCATTCTTTGGCTTCCATTCACTCATTGTTATACTATCTTGCTTTCTTCTGCAGACGTTTCTCCACTGCCTGTCTCTTGAATGTTGATGTTCCTCAGGGTTCTGTTCTAGGCCCAGTTTCTCAGTCTACATCTTTTCACCAGACAGTTGCATCCACTTTCACAACCTGTTAATTATGTGCGGGTAACTTTTACACATTTGCATTTTTTAAATTTTTATTTTTTAAATATATTTTATTGATTTTTTACAGAGAGGAAGGGAGAGAGATAGAGAGTTAGAAACATCGATGAGAGAGAAACATCGATCAGCTGCCTCCTGCACACCTCCTACTGGGGATGTGCCCGCAACCAAGGTACATGCCCTTGGCCGGAATCGAACCTGGGACCTTTCAGTCCACAGGCCGACACTCTATCCGCTGATTAGGGGCACATTTGCATTTTTAGCCTAGTCCTTCCTCCCCAGCTCCAGGCTGCCTCCTGAACATCTCCACTGTGATGTCCTCCAGGCATTTTAAACTAGTAGTCACCAAACTGAACTCATCTTCCCTTCCTTTAACTAACTACTTAATATTCTTGTGTGTGTGTGTGTTTTGTCCCAGTGAGAGGTACAGATCTACTAGTTATCAGTCAGAAATTCAAATTTTAATTGTTTATCATTTAATTACTGTCTCCAAGCATTTACCATTCTCTTATGTTTACACTTTGAAATGTATTTCAAATCTGTCCACTTTTCATTGCCCTGGTCCTGGCACTGTCATTTCTTTCCTCATTCCTATAACTGCTTTGTCACTGGATTTCCTGTAGTCTCAAATACATTTGTCAGTCATGTCGGTTAGGATATTTTAATCTGGAAATAGCAAAAAACCAACAGTTTCCATACACATGAGGGTACATGTTAATCAGGAATGTGAAGATAAGGTGGTTCAGAGCAGTTGAATGCGGTGGCACAACTCTGTCAGCAGTGATCCAGCTTTCTTTCATCTTTCCTTTCTGCCTTTCTCCATGAGTCCACAGCTCCCTTATGGTCAAAATATGACTGCGATATTCTAGGCCTCACCTCTGCACCAAGCCACCTAGAGAGGCAAAGGCCAGGAGGTTCCTACCCTATGTTCCTTTTGTAAAAGTGAGGACTATAGTCTCAGGAGCCTCAACAGACTACCCATCAAATCTAGTTGCTCAAAATGGTGTACCTTTCTCTTGCCTAAGCCAGAAACCAGCAAAGGGGATGGCATTGTCTTACACCAGAGTTCTCCCCGGAGGGATGAGCCTGGCCTGCCCCGAAGCATGAAGTCACTGATAATTGAACTAAGTTGGGTTCCATTAGCAAGAAGAGAACAGCTGTTGAGGTGACCGGCACTGTCGGCCATCGCAGTGGTCTTTCTGAACTACCGGGTGGCGCTTCTGATCGTGTGGCTCCTCTGCTCATGGCGTTCCTTGGAAGTCTCCCTTTACTGCTCGGATGAGGTCTACATTTCTTAAGTTCTTTCACAAAGCTCTTCCTATCCTGGCACCTACCTTCCCCTGCCAACCCTCTTCACCCTTCCCCAACCCCGACCTCCAGTCCTAAACTGTGAGTTCTCCAAACATGTCAAGCTCTTCTGCCTTGGGCCCTTTTGCATGCCATACCTTCTGCTCAAAACATTCAAATCTTCAATTTTCATCATCAATGTAACTTACAATAGACTGGAATCCCTCAAATCCGTTTGAAAGTAGGGGACCATAAATCATCAATAAAAAGGACATAATTTGAAGCCCCAGTAAATAACAGGCTTTTTTCCTGTATATTAATGTAGACAGTGGGAGAAGGAAAAACATTCTGGAAGGTCTTTTTTATCCCAACATATTATATAATGAAAAAATGTGATTCAGAAGTAAGGAAGCCTGTATGTGAAATAGCCACCTAACTAAGATTCCTGTTTCAGCATCGCACTTTCGAGACCCTCTCTTAATAAGGACTTCCGGGATCACGCTGAGCAGCAGCATATTGCCGCCCAGCAGAAGGCAGCGTTGCAGGTGAGCAAAGTGTAACTGCCGTTCTTGTCTCACTGGGGATTCCTGGGTCTTAGAAGCCAGCACAATTCCTGTTTTGTATTTCAGTGGAGCAATATCAATAAAAATGTTCCACACATAATTGCAGTGGTTTGCTGATGTTCAATTGTGCCCAGAGGATTTGAAGGACCAAAACAGAAGTAATGAAACTATCTTTTATGGTGTCGACTCGGTCATGATTGATTCTGTGCTGTACCTGGCAAGGGATTGCTTGCACACGAGAGTTTAGGGTATTTGGATGGACAGAATGATCTTAAAAGCTGAACTGGCTAGTTTAACAGTACATATATATTTTTTTCAAATTAGACCCTTTGATGGTCTTACTGGTTTATTATTGTGTGAATTCTTTTTGTAATGTCTGCATGGCTGTTTTACAGGAAATGTTTAAAGCATCCTCTTACCATAGGAATGTGATAATCCATCAGTTTAAAAATATATTTTCTTCATAGTAATAAACAGTTTCAGTACTACTCTGGTCTTGGATAATTTAAGATTCCCAGAGACATCATTATCTGTGCTTTTAAACCTCAGAATTTCAGAATTGGAAGGGACATTAGAGATCATCTCACTTTTTGTTGTTGTTGTTGTTAATCCTCACCTGAGGATATTTTTCCATTGATTTTTAGAGAGCGGAAGGGAAAGAGAGAGACACACAGAGAGAGAAACATCAATGTGAGGGAGACACATCGATTGGTTGCCTCCCACACGTGCCCTGACCGGGTTCGGGGATCAAGCCTGCAACTGAGGTTTGTGCCTTTGACTGGAATCGAACCCGGGACCCTTCAGTCCACAGGCCATAGTGCTCTATCGACTGAGCTAAACAGGCAAGGGGGAGATAATCTCACTTTAGACGACCTGAAAACAGTCCTTTCTTTAGTGACAAAGGAAGTCACTGGTGGTTTTCTATTATTTCCAGCATTCATCTGCCTTTCCCCCCTTCTTCCAACTACTGCCCTTCTTTCTCAAGTTTCTGCTTTGTTGATCAAAAGCAGAGTACTTTGGGACCATTGTTGCTAGTTTCCCTCCATTTCATGGAACAAAGTATATCATTTGTGTTTTTAACTCATTTATTGACTGAAAAGAATCATTGGGGAGAAAGTATGTATGATAGATGAGTACCTGGTGCAACTTGTTAATATGAATTCTTTTTTATTGCCCATCTCCTGGGTATTTTAACAAAATTAGCACAAGCACTGATTGTTAAAATAAATTTGGTCTCAAAAAAAAAACCAAAGGAAAAGAAAAAAATGTGATCTCAAGCACTCAGAAAAGATAATTAATTTTAATGCCTTGGCTGAAGAATTATGACTCTTAATAGCTTACTAGCCTTTTTTTAAAATTCTTTCCCAGCATGCACATGCCCATTCATCTGGATACTTCATAACTCAAGACTCCGCATTTGGGAATCTTATTCTTCCTGTTTTACCTCGCCTGGACCCAGAATGAAGAAATTATTTGTAATGACATTGACTTTGTAATATCAAATGCCAAAGCTACTATCGTTCAGTGCTATACAAGCTGTGACTTTCAGAATCGGTGAACTTAATACTTTTTACTTCCTTAAAAGAAAGGTATGTGTAAGTGAAAGCAAAAAAAAAAAAAAAAAGGTAACCAGGATGATGAGAGCTTTGGAAGCTGTATTATCTAAGGACTGATTATGCTACTGTGACTGTAACTTATTTGTAATGCAGTTTGATTTTAAGGCTAAATCAGACTCTGAATTAGATGGTCACATAAACTCACTCCCCACCCCTAAGCCCCCAAATAGTTGGACTGAGTACATCATGTCCACAAGAGACTTATAAAAGCCATTAATAGTACTTTAAAGAAATGAGGGTGCTTTTTAAAATGTGAACCAAAAGGTTTAAATAAGTTACATTCATATTTGCTGTGCATAGAATTGGTATCAGTGTACCTTTTGAGTTTATAGTCAACATGTCATCCTGAAATATTCTTTAACTCATAACTGTTCCTTATTTTCAGTTTTAAAAGAAAACCCAAAACTAAGTTGCTAAATGAAACATCTTTTATAAACCTATGCCACTATAAATTAGGTGACAAAATACTATTAAAAATAAATATATGAAATGTGGTGGTTTTAAATTTTATACATGCTCTTAGTGTTACTACAATGGCGTACCTGCATGGTTTTTTGTTTCTTTAAAAAAAATATATTTTATTGATTTTTTACAGAGAGGAAGGGAGAGAGATAATTAGAAACATCGATGAGAGAGAAACATCGACCATCTGCCTCCTGCACATCTCCCACTGGGGATGTGCCGGCAACCCAGGTACATGCCCTTGACCGGAATCGAACCTGGGACCCCTCAGTCCGTAGGCCGATGCTCTATCCACTGAGCCAAACCGGTTTCGGCTCTGCATGGTTTTATTGTCCGTTTTCGTTCTAATTAGAAACGTGTGCAAGCTGGGCCCCTTTTTAATTCCTTTAAGAAGTTGGGTGAAGCAGTTTGTCAATATGACACATCTTTAACAGAATCTGGAGTGCTTGTTTAAATATGCAGTCCCTACAGCCTTACCCTAGTCCTATAGAATCAGAAATCTCTGAATTCAAAATAAAGTTTGAAAACCATGGGTTGGAGAATTCAGTTTTCATGATATATGTTTATAAATTCATAGATCTGTAGGTCTCTGAAACTTAGAGATCATTTAGCTAAAATCTACATTTTTTTTTTTTTACTTCTAATACTATTCAATTTATTTTATACTATATCACAGGTACAGTATTTTATATACTGCTTATAACTGATCTCATCTTGGCCTTGAGTCCCCATCCTCTCTAGTGGTAGGATAAAATTTAAACTTAAATTTCCAGTTTGGATCAGTATTTAATCAAAGTTCATCTCCCTTTTCAAAAAGTTTCTTCTCCTTCCCTAGACATTTGCACCAACCACATAGCCCCATCTTGCCCAAACTAATTAAAGCAGAAGTGGACAAAAGAATTGGCTGTGCCATTTAGATGCTTTCTCTTGAAAATTTGAATTGATTTTCTTCATTTGGGTGAGTTGGCAGCTGTCCCCATTGTAATGGTCACCATTGCGGCAAAGGTGCCCTTACTCCTGCTGCTGAGCTCCCTGGGGGCTCGGGCTCCTGTCCTGCCTCAGGTCTCACCAGCTTCCTTTAATGGTCCTCACTTTTTTGAATGTGACTACGTTTCTGTTCTTTGTGATACACGACCTACATCCATGGTTCTAAATCTATCTACTTGATACTAGGGAGATAGAAAATTTGGATTGTAGTTTTTATACTATCAAAGCCTCTACCTAAGGTGTGACTTTTATAACTTATGTCAAAGAGATCTTTTTTCCAGTGATATCTTTTCTAGTGTCCTACCCTTTTACATAGATGTTGCCTAAATCATGCACTCCTGGCTAGTAAACACTTTCTCCCCTGCTCCTTTAAATCATTTTCAAATCTACTCTGTAAAACCCTGTGCTTTGTGGAGGGGGGCTGGGTATGATGAGTGATACCTGCTCTTAAAGAGTTCACAGTGGCAGAGCCTACTCTGGTGCAGCAGTAATGCTAACGGAAGTCAGAATGCAGTGAGTCGCACGGGAGAGCATCCTGGAGCCTGCAGCAGTCTAGATAGGCCTGGAAGTACTGGCGTGATTTTACCTGGCAAGGAAGGGAAGAGCTGCTCCAGGTCAAGATTTCATAATCGGAGAAGCAGGAACTAAGGCACTTGCGAGGACGACAGAGGACGTGGGAAAGGGCAGCAGTGGACTCCCTCAGAAGCCCTGAGATAAAGTTTCATTATTGCTTCCCTTGGATTATGGGTGAATTTGCCTAACTCGCTTTATCTCTCTTTACATGTCACTCCATCTGCAATATTGGAAGAGAACACACTTTGTCTACTTCATTAGAGTGACAGAATGTAGTAATAGGAGGTTTTGTTCCTTGAATCTTGTTTCTGTGTGTTTGTGTATGTGTCTTACTTATGGTGTTTATTGTATGTTCCATCAGTAGGTAAGATCTCTGAAGGCAAGAATTTTTGTTTCCCTTACTCTTTGTTTACTACTGTATTCTGCTTAGAATAGCATTTGGTATACAGTAGATGGTCAGTACCTACTTGTTGAAGGAAGGGAGAAAGGAAGGAAGGACTCTATATGACCTGGGTGGTGATGTAAAGGGTATTGTTTTTTTTTACTGTGTGTCAAGGTAATAAAGTTTTGAAAGCCACTGCTACATAATACAGATGATAGTGCTTTGTATGATTCTGGAATAAAAACTGAAATGACACAGTTTCAAAGGCACATATTTTTTCCTGGACAATCTATAAGCTGTCTTAAGTTGTCTCAGTTCTTTGCTTCACTTTAGCAACAGAATCTCTTAGTCATCTACTCAGCATTTATTCTTCCTTTGCCCCTTCACCCTTCCCCAGTACAGTCAACGTGCTTCAGGGGAAGCTGACCGCCCAGCACCAGGAGTGGGCCTTACATGCTCCTGACCAGTCAGGGAATTCATTCCCTTTTGCTGGTCAGCACATGGTATTTCACAGACCGCAGGAACTGGTTCAGCATTGCACGTGTTACCCACATTCAACCCAAATGAGACTCCAGGAGAGGATTGTTGGGTTTATGGAAAAGACATGTTCTCACATTTCTGAGAACACTACCCAAAAGGTTTCTTTCTCTCTAGATATGTAAAGGCAGTGCATGTATATACCTATGCTGCCCCGCTTACCATGGGGTATGTGCCAATAAACCCATCATAAGTTGAAAAACCTAAGTAGAAAATGCATTTAACACAGCTAACCTACCAAATAGCATACCTTAGCCCAGCCTACCTTTAACATGCTCAGCCCACAACATCTAAAATACGCTGGCAATACAGTGCACTGCAGGGTATTGTTTCTTTGCCCTTGTGATCGTGTGCCTGACTGGAGCTGACTCCCATGACCGCCATGCTGCAAGGAAGCCCAAGCTAAGCACGTGGAGAGGCCATACGGTGGAGCACTGAGGTGCCAGACATGTGAGTGAAGCCACTTTGGATCATCCTTCTCAGCCCAGCCACCAGCTGAATGCAGCCAAGCGAGTGACCCCAATTGATGCCATCTAGAGCAGGATTGCCCAGCTGAGCAGAATTTCCACCGAATTATAAGAAATAATAAATTGTTGCTGTTTTAAACCTCTACATTTTGGAGTAGTTCATGATGCAGCAAAATATAATAACACTCTTGATCTCCAAACTCCCATATGCATTGCCAACATGACATCTCTACTTGGAAGTCTAATGGGCATCCGTGTCCAAAATCCGACTCTTGATCTCTCACCCTCCCAGCATGTTTTTTGCCCAGCATTTCCCACCCAGTAAAAGGCTACTTGCACAGCTGTAAACACGGCAGTCATTCTAGACGCCTTTCTCACTCCTCTTTCAGTCTAGCAGCTCCATAATCCCACGAATTCTCATCAATTCCTCTGCTATCATTTTGCTCCAAGCCACCATCATATCATTTACCTAGACTACTGCAGTAGCCTAACTAGTCTTCCTTTTCCACATTTGTCCCTGCCCTTCAAAGTTGAGAATATTCAGTACAGCAGCCAGAGTGATACTTTAAGAATGTGAGACACATGACCCTGGTTGGTGTGGCTCAGTTGGTTGAGCACCATCCCATGCACCAAGAGGTTACCAGTTTGATTCCTGGTCAGAGCACGTGCCTGGGTTGCTGGCTTGATCCCCAGTAGGGGGTGAGCAGGAGGCAGCTGATCAATGATTCTCTCACATCATTGATGTTTCTCTCCCTCTCCCTCTCTGAAATCAATAAAAAGATTAAAAAAAAAAAAAGGAATTTAGCTGCTTCTCCAGCACAGTCTTTTGGAACTCTTCTCAGGCCACAGCTGTTACTACCATCGGGAATCTCCGGGAGATTGAGAGCCTCACAATGTAGCAACTACAGTGAAGCTGGCAGCCATAGTTCTGTTAAGAAAACAGGGGTGTGTGCCAGCCCCTCATGCTCATTACGGAGCTATTAATTCAAGTTCTCTTAGGAAAGCATCCAACAGTGAAAATACAGGCTCTGAGCAGCCACAAGCAGGAGCTCAGCCCTCCAACCAGGGAGGCACAGACCTTTAGAGAACTGAGTTCTCCAGGTTTAGCCACTTTGTGAGACAGATGCCAAGCTGCCCCCTTTGATCTGCCAGGCTCCTTGGGAATGGAGAGGGCCTGCAGGGGGCAGTGGTCAGCCTGTAGGCTGTTCAACATTGCTAACTTCTGGGGCTGCAGAATCCAAGAGGACTCGCTGCTCCTTTGAGAAGGAGCTCCCATGTACAGCATGCCAGAAGAGAACTAAAAGAATGAGTAAGACTTACAAAAGGATGGGGTCGTGGTAGAGGAGCAGGTGGAAGGAAAAGGGCATCCCAGGCAGAGAGGGAGGGGGTGGTGTAACAGTAGGAGCCAGCAATCCCCGTGGAGGGTTTGGAGCTTTATTAGAGAGCCATTAAAGAGGAAGTGATAGAATGAGGCTGTACTTAGATTTTCCTAGGAAGCAGTGGAGGGTGGGCTGCTGGAGGCAAGGCGACCACTAGGGTTGCTGTTAAGTGATTGTAGGGCAAAATGATATGGGGCTGATCAAAGTTGGTGGCAGTGAGAAGATTCAAGGATATGAAGGTAGGTAGAATTATCAGATAATGGAAGCTGATTAGGAAGGATGGAAAAGGAACAGGGAGAGGAAGATGGGAGGTCCTAGAATAACTCAGGTTTCTGGCTTCAGCAACAAGGTGGATACAGGTGCCATTTCCTTAGGAAGAAATAAGGGGTGGGGACATGGGGTTGAAGAGCCTTTCTCAACTGGGGTTGCACTAGAGAAGCAAGCCCTAATGCCATAAGGCCTCCATTGTCTGGAACAATTAACACCTCTCCCCTGCACCTAGAATGGTATTAGTAGTTATGTCCTAGGGAGAATTGAGGAAAATGGGCACTTGAGTCATTCTCTGCATTGTGTGGTTCAGGCAAAGAACCCCAGTGGAGAAAGGTTACATGTAGGTGTACCTATGCTAAGGCCATGGGAGGGGGTGAAACTGCCTTGAGAAAATGTATACAATTGAATCTATAAATGAGAGAATCAAGAGATGAGGAGCCCGAGAAAGAGAAT